CCTTAGCTTCAGAATTCTAACCTTCTGTCCCCAGGTCCTGAAAAAACGGTCCCTTGCGGCTCTACTATTGAGGGCCCTTTTTGTGCGCCTCCAATCTGTCCAAACCAGGGATCGGACCGCCTCCAGCACCAGGTTCTTGATGCCAACATGAGAATGAAATTTTGATCTAAAAAGTCTGTCGTTTCTTAGCTTCCAGATGACCTGCATGATAGCCGTCCTGCATGCCGTGGCCACATACATCCATCCAGTGCCAGTAGCTTTGTCATAGTGCAGGATACCCTCCACCACGAAGCTCTCATCCCATTGAACCTGATCCTCCACCTGGTCTCGACAGAGTCGGGCCCACCATGCCCAGATTCTTTTTGACTCAATGCAGCCCCACCACAAGTGCGTGGCTGTTTCCTCTGCCTTCCTGCACCTGCAACACTGAGTGTCGAGCGGCATTCTGTTTGATGCTAGCCAGCAAGCCGTGGGCACTATCCGATGGGATTGCAACCACGCCAAACTCCCTACCTTTGCAGAAGGAATATGTCTGAGGTTCCTCCACAGTTTCCTTAGCGATACCGATGAGATTCGCCCCTTCAATTGAGCCCTCTCTTTACCCTCCATCTGCCATCGATTCATGACCCCCAATGGGACGGACCAAGCCTTGCTTTGAGGCTGATATCCAATTGTGGGGGTGTAATCAAGCAGACTGATCACCTTTGTAGGTTCTAACAGTTTCCAACCCCATTGGGATGGAATAACTTTCAACTTGTGCGCAGGTTTAGCACCTAGAGGGCACTGATACTTAATTTCCCCCTTGGATAACTTTTCAGAGTACACCACAACTGAGACGACCTTCTGCAGGGAGACCACCTGCTCCTCTTTTTCCTCTAGACTGCACCTCGCCCCTTGCTCCATTGTCACCATAGCGAAGGGGGTGACCGCAGCCTGTCCTTGATTCAGTACAGCCAGGACTCTCCACACCTCCTTGGGAGCTGCAGACCCCCCCTGGACTACCCAATGCCCTTCGTATGCCGGGTACGGGTTCATCAGGGTCTCCTTCCAAGTGTGTGGGATGCTGGTTAATATTTTACCTAACCTTTCTTCGACCGCCCTTAGGTGGTGAAGTCTTACCTTTAGTTCCGCTGCACCTCTCCACTGTGAGATGTCTGGATTCCATAGGTCCGAGATTTTCGACACTCCCCTTTGTATCCAGCTTTTTCCAAACTGTCCCGTTGCATCTCCTGTGGACCACGGGACCCCTGACTCATCACATACAAAAACATTGTCAAAAAGGTGTTGAGCTAGGATCTCCTCCCTAGTCTGTGGTTCCTTGAGCTGCACCGACATGAGGTGGTCCCATGCCCGAAGGATATCCTTCCAAACTGATGAACTGACCTGTTTCTTTACCATGGACGGCGTAAGCAGAGCCACCCATACGTCCTCCCTTCTACTTAACTCTCATTCCTTCATAAGAATAGTCACAACCAGCTCCTCCCACGGGTGACCTGCTGTCATGGTGAGCAACTTGACTACCCATCTAGCCAACAGCGCATTAACCTGCATTTATGGATCCTTGATACCCAGACCCCCATTCGCCTTTCCCCCAACTACCTTCTTCCAAGCTAATTTGGCAATATACCCCACTTCCTCACTCCGTGTTCCTTTCCAAAGGTATCTTGTGGATACCGATCTGATTCTCCCATAAGCTTTGGTTTCCAGGCTCCTTATCGATCCTGAAAACCAGATTTTTGAAAACACAGATGTGTTCAAAAAGAGAGCACGTCCCAATATAGATGTGCCTTTTATTTCCGCCACTTTGCCAATCTTGGATATGATTGCTCGCTCCACCAAATTGCTGGCCTTCTTCTTGCTCTCCAGTATGCTCACCTGCACCCCCAAAAAACGCTCACACTCATCGACAGGTAAGCACTTCAACACCCAATTCACAGACAAATGAGTATCATCAGTGGCAATCGCAGTAGACTAAGGCCAGTTTATCAGGGCTTCTGAGAATTTAGAGTAGAGATCCAAACAACATTTAAGCGCTCCTAGGGATTCCTTACAGTTGACAGATAGAGCAAACAGGTCATCGGCCATCGCCGACGCCCTGCACTCCTGTCTATTGGGCAAGAGAAGGCCCCAAATGTCTGGATGTTTCCTAATCAAAGACAATAGGACTTCCATTTGTAAGGCAAAGAGCATGGGGGCGAGCGGGCATCCTTGTCTAAGTGACCTCGTGAGCGGAAAGGGACTTGAAATTTTGCCATTGACGAGAACCATACCCACTCCTTTGGTATAGAGAGCCCTGACCCATGCACAAAAAGGCTCTCCAAAACCTGCTAGCTGTAGCGTATCCAATACAAATTTCCAATTAACCCTGTCATATGTTTTTTCCAGGTCTAGGAGGAGGGCCACCACCTCCGGTTGGTCCTCCTTCATGGTCTCCAATGCTTCGATCGTAAGCATAATGTTGTTCAATATGTTTCTTCCCTGGACGAACCCAGCTTGCTCTTCCCCAACTAATCCTGGAAGGTATCGCTTGAGTCTATTGGCCAAGGTTTCTGCCAGAAGTTTGTAGGATGTGTTTAATAGTAAGATAGGTCGCCAGTTTCTTATGTTCCTTTTGTCACCTTTCTTATATAGCAGTGAGACAATCCCTATCCTCATATCCTCTCACAGTTCTAGTCCTCCCAATACCCCGTTAAAAATATCGACTAGCACCGGTCCCAGGGTATCCCAGAAACAGGCATAGTACTCCACCGGTAACCCGTCACTGCCCAGGCATTTTCCTTTCTGTATAGTCTTCAGTGTGTAATTCAGCTCTTCGATTGTCACTGGTCGATCCATTTCCAAAGGTCCATGGTTGGGTAACCGGGCCTCAAATGCTTGCCAGAGGGTCCCTTGCAATGCATCATCCCCCGGGTCCGGACATATCGGCCTAGAGGAAGTTAGTATATTCTTGAAATATAGCCTGGCGTATTCCACAATCGTTGTAGTGTCCTTGGCCCTAGGCTCAAAGGAGTCAAAGGGGTGGTCCAATTCCACTATCAACGATGAACCTTTGCGCTTGGAGAGACGCCTGAAATTTTCTTTTGTCATTTTGTCCCCTACATTCAACCATTTTATCCTGGCTCGTTCTACCCATACTTTTTCCTTTTCAATCTGTATATTTTATAATTTGTCCTTCCAAAGGTTCCTGTAATACAGCCAGTAATCTCCTTTGCTTGGTTCCCATTCCATTTTTTTTTTTGCCCATTCAATATTTGCCACACAATTTTCTTCCTCTTTCCGTCTATTGTGTGCCTTGATCCGAGAGGCAAAGCTCAGATCCGTCGCCGCCATTTTGTTTGCTGCTTCCAACCAGTCCGTATCTGACTCATAAATTTTTTTTTGGTCTCTTAATTTCACTAGGGAATTCTTTATTGAGGCCACCAGCCCCTTGTCTTGTAACACTTCTGTGTTTAGCTTGTAGTAGCCCTTGCCTCTGACTATGTGATTGTTCGGGACGAACACGACTAATACAGGCCTATTGTCCGAGAGGGAGTCGAAGGGCATGGAGACCTCCATGGCCCATTCTGCAGCTTTATCTCTGACCAACAAAAAATACAGTCTTAATTTGGTATAGGACTGGTCCTGTCTAGGTGTGTTGGATACCCAGGTGAATTTGGTGGTTAGGGGGTACAACTGCCTAAACGGATCAATTAGGTTCATGCTCTCCACAAAGTCTCCCAAAGCCAGGGTATCGCTTCTGACTGGATCTGCTGCCGTAGAGTCTAGGGCAGGATCCAGAATTGTATTCCAGTCCCCTCCCAGAACCATATTCCTATTCTTAGGGAGTACCCGAGGCAGGACCTCAAAAAATTAAATTTTTTCTCTTCTGTCCACCGGGGCATATATAGATGCAAACGTCCATTCTGTACCCTGGATGCTTACTGAGGCCCAGGCCCAACGGCCCAGTGAGTCAGGAAATTCGTCTAGAATCATCAAGTCCAGATCCTTGTGGAATAAGATCCCAGTACCTCATTTCGTACCATCCGCGGGGGCCCAGAACTACGGGCCTTGCCACTTTAACCCTGCCTCTTCTATTTTTTCCTCATTTAATTTAGTCTCTTGGAGCAACATAACATGGACCCCATGTTGGTGCACCCACCTTCTTAGCCTTGCCCATTTAAATTTAGCATTAGTATCCCCAAGGCCCCTGACGTTCCAAGAGGCTACTCTTAGTTTATTCATTGGGGCTTAGGCCTCCCGTGTTTTGGATCAGGGCAAAGTCATCTGGAGGGAAAGTGGACACTGTCTCCCCCTCCGCCATTCCAACTGTTACCACAATGGGCGCTCTAGTGATTGGGCCCGACTGTACCGTGGTGAGGTTGGTTTTCCTCTTTCTGTCCTCCCCTGTCTCTACGCTGCTCCCTTTCCCCTGCCATGGTGAGGATAGGATTCTGTCAAAGTAGGTTGAGAAAAAATTGGTATCTGCTGAGAGTTGCTGGTTGTATTCAACCAGCACATCTCCTGAGATCTCCTCCGCCGTATACACCATGTTAGCATGGAGGAGAGTCTCGTCTTTGGCCGACTCAAGAGGGCACCACACCTCTTTGTTCTGGGCCAACTGTTCCAAGTCTGCTTCGCTGGGTCTTACGTCAAAGGGAGCCACAAACAAGTGTACTTTGCTGTGGCTGTTGCCCATTCGTTGTATCTTCCTAGTCCCCATTCCTGGGATTGCTCTAACTGGGGCGTTTCTGCCCAGGTAATTTTTCACCTTAATCAGCATCTCAGCCTGTGATGGACTGTTGTCCACTGGTTTGTGGGTAATCAGCTTTATGTTAGTACCCATACTGTACGTGAGGAAGACTATGCCTTCTGGGGTTTTCCTACAGATTAAGGGAGCCAAATACAAAGGAACCAAGTATTTGGTTCCCTGCATCTTGTTGACTGGCCCTGTTTTCTTCTGCTTCCTTGCCCTCTCAGGGGAAAGAGTTTTTCCCCTCTTCTCTTTAGATGGCCCATCCCCGTCAGTGGATCCCTCAGAATCTCCCATTGATCCTGCGACTGCCTCTGGTGGTGCCATTAGATCCTCCGGCATCTCCGTCCCATCCAGCATTATGATCTCCTGGGTTGCAAGATTTACTTGACTCTCTGCGTTGAGCAGTTTGCCTTCTGAAGTACCCGGGACTGGGACGTGTGCCCCTGTTTTCTCGTTCCCCCCATTAACTGATTTTTCGGGACACCTTTCAGGTTGCACCAGGTCCAACAAATGCGGCGTGACTAACGATTGCTCCTGGTCTGTTTCTTGTGGGACTGACTCAGAACTTTGACTCTGCTCTTTGTTCCCTCCCTTGCCTATATCCAGCACTGCCTGTTGACTTTCCTTGCTGTTTGTCCTTTCCCCCTCTCCCATTTTTTCACCCCCCCCCTTCGATGTTGGAACCCTCAACCCTGATTAATCTGGTCTGACCCTGTTCCCGCCTGGCCTCTCCCCCACTGGTGCTCTGAGGGAGAGCTTCCTCTAGTTTCATGGTATCCAGGCTGGAAGGTGTTTCTGTTGTTTGCTGAGACTGTTCGGGTGAATGTGCAGCTGTGTATGCCTCAACACTCACGGGACCTCCTAGGGTGACCGTGCTTCCAGCAGCTGCATTATTGTTTCTACTCGTTGTCTTAGGTGCTCTCGGGGAACCCTGCTGGGAACCTGAGCTGGTAGTAGTTACTGCCTGGGCCTTTGGTAAGCCAGGGTTTGGCGAGGTAGTGCCCGAGTTACCTCCTGATTGTCCAAAAACAAATGGTGTCTTTTGGTTTACGGGCCTTGAGACCGAGGGCTGAGGCTGAGATTGCTGCCCCAGGTTGGGTATCCATCCTGCTCCTGCTCTCAGTCCCCCCCTGGCCTGTACTGATGTAGCCCCAAGGTACCGTCCCTGATTGGCTCCCCCAGCCTGTCTCTGTCGTACAGTATTAATCTCAATTGTCTGTGGGCACGTTTCTGATGTATGTCCGTATTCCCGACAAAGAGAGCACCAGTCCGTCATCTGTGTGACCACCTGGATTTTGATGACCGAGCCATTGGCTTGTGGCCATTCCAGGAATTCCGGAACTCGGTCTCTTTTGTCCCGCGGGATGTCGAATTTCAAGTTGTTTAGTTTGGGACATTCCTCGTACCGCTCCGGGGGGTATTGCTTCACAGCTTTCCCCACTGCATATTCAATTTGCGACCTGACGAACGGGGCTCCCATCCATGGCACGCGTAAAG